TGTCCTATGTGCACTTGAGAAGAATGTATATTCTGTGGCTTTGGGGTGGAATGTTCTGAAGATGTCAATTAATTCCATCTGGTCTAGTGAGTCATTTAGGATTGATATTTCTTTGCTGATTTTTTGTTTAGATGATTTGTCGAAGGGTGGCAGTGGGGTATTAAAATCTCCTACTATGATTGTATTGCTATTAATCTCTCCCTTAATGTTCTCCAGCAGTTTGTTTGTTTGTTTGTTTGTTTGTTTATGTATTTGGGTGCTCCTGTATTAGGTGCATATATATTTACCAGGGTTATTTCTTCTTGTTGGATTGCTCCCTTTAGTATTATGAAGTGGCCTTCATTATCTCTTATTATGTCCTTCACTCTGAGATCTAATTTGTCAGATATAAGTATTACTACCCCAGCTTTTTTTTTTCATTTCCATTTTCCTGGAAAACTTTTTTCCATCCCTTCACCCTCAGTCTGTGTGCATCTTTTCTGAGGTGGGTTTCTTGTAGACAACAGATGTACGGGTCGTGTTTTCTTATCCAATCTGTCATCTACTTAGTCAACCAAATGAATAAAATTTGGAGATAGTAACCCTTCTGCAAGCACCACCATTACCACAGGTGGCCTTCTTTGTTTCCTCAGAAACATACCTTGCCTTGAGGAGATTGGACTGAACCAAATATAGAGAAAACAAAAAGTCAAGATCTTGCTTTTTGCTAAAGGAGTTTATCACCACCAAACCAGAATTACATGAAATATTAAATAGTCTTCTTTAAAAAGAAGAAGAAGAAAGGTCAAAACTGGCAATAAATACATATCTATCAACAATTGAATCCAAAAAAATCAAAATAAATGAACACACAGAAACAGACTCATAGAGACAGAGAAAATTTCGATGGCTGCTAAATGGGAGGAGGCTTGTGGGAATAGATAAAAAAGATGAAGGGATTAAGAAGTACAAACTGGTTGTTTCAGAATAGTAGTGGGGATGTAAAGAACAGCATAAGAAATATAGTCAATAATATTCTAATAGCTATGCATGGTGTCAGATGGGAGTGAGATTTGTTGGGATGATCACTTAGTAAGTCACATAATGTCTAATCACTGAGGGGAGGTACATTTGAAACAAATATAATAGTGTCAACTGTAATGTAATTGAAAATTTTTTAAAAGATCTTGCTTTTTAGAATTCCAAAATAGGTTCTTGATACTTACAGTAGCATTGTCATTCTGAATTCAATCAATCTGAAATTTTACTAATTGGACTTTTTAAGATGGAAGAAAAAAGTTTCTTTAAGTCTTATGAGATTAATCCTTAATGCAACCTGGGCATAAACTGTTGGGTACTAGAAATAAATGACCTCTTTTTCCCATCTCCCATCTAGCCTACAGGAAATGGAATTTAAAGAGGAGTTTAGATGCTGATGAGTCACTAAAAGACACCCATATCCTGGACTATTGGTGGTTGGAACCATGTGGGTAATGGAACCCTCAGATAAGTTTTTGGGAATCTGAGGATGGAATAGTTGCCACTGACATTCAGTGACATGGAGGCTAGTAAAGAGATTACAGGAACAGAGGCAGCCATGTGAGAGCACAAGTCTTCTGGGATACAGGTCAGGAAGCCACTCGCAGGAGATGTGGAAGTCAGCCAAGAGGGACAGCCAGCAACCTCAAGAGACCAGAGACCAGACAGGGAGACAGAAGTGGGATACCAGCAGGGTCTCTAAGGTCAATGGCAGGTAAAGCAACTGTGCATCCTACACTTGAACTAAAGTTACCCAAAAGTGCCCAGATTAATTGTATTGTCATCAAGCAGAAAAGAGATTCAAGTTCAGTTTTAGAAAATGTAATAAGTTTCTGTTCTTACACACCTGAATGGAATCTGGACTATGAAGTCAGATAGCTAGAAATGACAGAGCCTCCTTCTACTCCTCTTCACATGGAAACAAATTTCAAGTCCTATTCATCCTACCTCCAAAGTACTTTCCCTCTGTTACAACCTCACTGCCTTAATTCAACCCTCATCATCTCTTAGCTTGAGTATTCCAACTGCCTCTTGATGTATCATCCATTTTCCCCAGCAAACATTATCCTGTCACTAGAATGTTATTTCTAAAATGCAAAAAAAAAAAAAAAAAAAAAAAAAAATGGGTTTGTCACATTTACCCAATACTTTCAGGTATTATATACAATACATTCAGGATAATGTCTAATCACTTTTGCTTATCATCAATCCATCCCTGAAAAAAAAATGTTTCCACCTTTAGGTGTGAAACATTCTATAATAGCTACAACTTGGAATATTGCTCCTGAAAATTAACATGACTTCTTTCATGTTTCTATGCCTTTGTGTGTGCTAGTTCAGCAACCCACAGTATCATTACCCAGTGTAATCAAGGGAGGAAGAGGGTCCATAAAAGTTGTAATAAATAGGAGTATTTTTAATATCTTAGGAAGGTTCATAAAAAATATAGATTTCTCTATGATAAGAATGCATAGAATCTCTAATTTTTTAAAGTTTTGTGTTATATTTGGCTATCATGGCACCAACTTGGTCTAAAAAACTGCTATATCATGCTGGTTAGAAGTAATGACTGGAGATTGCATATGTCTTTGCCAAATAAAAATTGGGAAATCTAATTAATTGTTACTGACATCATTTTATTATTATTTATACAATTTTAATGATGGAGTCTATTGAAGAAATAACAATAAAAGCAGTGCTTGCTGGTGGAAATTTTGGGAACAATGGCTGAAGGAAAGAGGGAAGCAGGAATGAAGGAAGTAGAGAAAGTAGGGAGTGTAAGAAGGATGTTAATTAATGGCCATAAAGTTTTAAATTCTTGACTCACTTAATCCTCAAAGTAAAATAATCTATTAGGGTACATATTTGTATATTTTTCTATTTTTCAAATGAAGAAACCAAGCAAAGGAAAATTGAACAGCATATCAAAGTCACTCAGCCAGTCCGTAAGCATAGAGCAGAGATGTTAATTAGGCTCCAGTAAACAGGAAGTTCATGCTATTCCTCTTATGTCTGCAGTCTCTCCCTGAAATTTATTCTCACCTAATTGCTCATCTAGTGTTGAACACAAGTGAAGCAAAAAGGTGCCTAGCAACACATTTTTATATTAAATTTTTAAAGGAGTAAGAATACATCTAAGGTGTTTTTCGGGAGAGACATAGCAAGTAATTTGGTGCATAGACTCTGGGGCCACACTGCCTAGCTTCAAATCCCTGCTGACCCACTGACTAGTTGTGGAACCTTGGGCGTATTACCCCGTGTCTCAGCCTCCCAATCTGTAAATAGGGGTATTGATAATGTCTCTCCATTAGATTGCTTTGAGAATAAAATGAGGTAATACATGAATACTACTAACAATAGTGTCCCAGGCATAGTCTCAAAGCATTTAGCAATAGGCTCATTAGAATCTGGATATGCTTTCATCTATCTTCCTTCAGCAAGAGATAAAATCCCCCAAAATAAAAAAAAAGTTAATTATTAATTATTAAGCAAATATTTTCTTTAATAGACTCTATGGGATCTATCATTAAAGTTATAGAAATAATAAAATTATAACAGTAATAATTAGATTTCCCAATTTTTATTTGGCAAAGACATAGCTTCCAACAAGCATGGCATGGCAGTTTCCTACAGTGGAAAAAGTTAGTGTAGAGAAGTTGAGAGATTTGATCTATAAATATTGATTAGTGGTGCTAACAGTTGAGACTTCGTTTCTTTCTAAAGTTCAGGAAGTTTAATGAAGGAGATCCCTTAAGGAAACCCATAGAGCACCATGGTCCTGTGGAGGGAAGGTTAGAGTAAACAACAAGCAGCAAGCAGTTTGCCTCCAAGTCAACAATCTATTTATTATAGTCAGACCCAAAATGGACTGAACTTATAGAAGCTACCACAAGCATCAACAAACAAAAATTGTTATAGGGCAGCATTTTTGAAGTGCTAGGAAAATAATTATGCAGGCTTGTAAAATGTTCTTCAAATAAAGTAACAAAAAAATAATAAATTGGCAAATAATAAATACTAGTTCTCAAAATTTGATGTTTGTCCACTCTTACCTTCAATGTCACCACTTATCCATTTTCTGGTACCATGTAGTGGTTACCTAAGGTGCATAGTATGCTATTTCAATAGCATCTATATCAGAATGTCTGCTTTCTTGAAAGACTATTTCAATTTTACACACCATCTCCAAGTTTATCTAATCATAAGCTTCATCTAGGTGCTTATTAAAATACAAAGTCCTATGCCCATCTAAATACTTAATATTCTTTTTTTAAAAAATATATATATATTATTGATTTTTTAATAAGTACTTAATATTCTTAATTTTAAAGCTAGAAAATTAGTATTTTTAACAAGTGCCCTCAGTAACACTGATCATTCATTATCATGTAGAGTTGACAGGTTAAGCGCCAATGCATAATTTTAAAGGCTAACCATGTAAATGATTGAAAATCATTTTCTAAAAATACTTGGGAACCCTGCCCAGTTTGGCGCAGTGGATATAGCATTGACCTGAATACTGGAGGGTTGTGGGTTCGATTCCAGTCAAGAGCACATACTTCACTTGCAGGCTTCGCTTCCAGTCCCAGTCAGGGAACTTGTGGGAGGCAACCAATCAATGTATCTTTCTCACATTGACATTTCTCTCTGTGTGTCCCGCAAATCCCCTTCTCCACTCCCGCCTTTCACTCTCTCTAACAATCAATGGGAAAATATCCTTGGATGAAGATTAACAAAAAAGTTAAAGTAAATTAAAAATACTTGGGAAATGTTGGAGGCCTGAAGATATTAACTCACCACCAATATTAAACTTATCTTAGTTTGTGACCAAAATGGATAGAATCTTAGGAAACATGGAGAAAGAGCTCTATATTAAATGAAGACCATCGGTAACTATAGTGTCTTTCTACTTTCTCAACTACCTGATCTTCCCTTTTCCCTTTCTCCCTTTTACACTCTTCCCTTCTTCCTTTAACACTTACCTGAGTTCTTCTCTGACTTCCATTGCCGTGTTCCCTGCTATAATGAACACTTCATTCATATCATCAGTCAGCATGTTGCAGGCATAGCCAATGTTGATGGCAGTTTCTGATACAAAATAAAGCCTACTTCAGTTAGAAAATTATTGATAATCTATACATAAAATAGGCTAATATGCAAAGTGTCCCTATGGGAGTTCAACCAGGAGACCTAGAGTTCTATCACTCACTATGACATGCACTGGCCACCAGCGAGTGGCACAGAACAAAGGAAGGCCTTGGCCAGCAGCCAGCAGCTGGGGAAGAGAGGCCCCAGCCAGCAGCCAGGGAAAGGAGGCCCCTGGCCGGCAGCCAGAAGGAAGGCCCCTGCTGCCAGCCAGAGGCATCTACTGTCCTGATCACCAGCTAGACCTAGGGACCCTACCTGTGCATGAATTTCATGCACCAGGCCTCTAGTATGCTTGCATAGAAGTGTGTTTTTTCTATAGAAGTTTTGAAGTCATTGCTATATTTCCTTGTAGCTTACAGGCTCCCTTAATGTCAGAGAGAGCATAATTGGTGATAATGTAAGAGACCCAGAGGGAATTTCAAGCCCTGGCTCCCATGATCAAATTTATCAATTGATAACTCCATGGATCCATAGCCACATCCATGAATCCTCAACTTTCTCATGTAGTTTTTACCGGAGGTCCCAAATACTACCTTTGGAGAGCTGAAATACTACACTTAGCCATTTTTCAATTCTTATGTATTAGGAAAATTGAAAAATAACTCAGCAAAATGTTCAGCTGAACAGCAAAAAAATGCTCTTATAAAATTTTTACAGTTCTCCCACATGCAACATTGTCACTTTCCCATTAAGTGAATGGACTGCTGCTAGAAAACTAGAAAATTACATGATGTTGAGCATTCCTTCTTCCAATTTTATAGAAATGGAGCCTAGGGTAGTTAGATAAACCTATTTTCAATAAAGTCATTTGATTCTACTGAATTCTTAGGCTCTACCTAATTCTATGGAATCATTAGATTTGCCTGTCCTATGTCAAGGAAAGCAACTGATAAGTGTGTGCTTTGTATAAACCACAAAAATTAAAGCTAAATAATAGTAAACTTGTGGATATTCATAACTAATTGAGCAGCTATACCCACTGATCAACATCAAACTCCAAGAAGTCTGTAGTAACACATCACAGAGCTCAACTTTCTAATGTTTATTTTTGTGATCAGTGATTTGGGTGTCCGTATAGAGAATTGATTTACCATATCTGAAAATCTTCAAATGTTCTAAAAAATATCTATAGGTAGATATAATCTTAAAAAAAAAAACATGTATTCACCAGTTAACTGAATGTTTCTGGTTTACTAAGGACCAAGTGTAAAAGCATTTTTGTTTTAATCATTACTGCTAGCAATAGATCCAAAATCTTTCTTAACAAGCACAGAATTATGAACATAATGACTCTTTTTCTGATGATTTGATATTTTGTCATGCCTGAAAGTGGGTCAGCTCCCATTGTACCACTGCATGGGGAGGCTTGGAATTAAACTAGGTTACTCTAGTACAACTGTTGTGGTTGTTAAAATACCAAAATATTTACAGACCAGTTGATAAACAGTTGCTTCCCTGAGCCTCTCAAAAGCCTGTCCCCTCCTCTAAGATCCCCAAACCTCTACATAGCATCAACAAAGTAAAGGAGTAACCCCAAGGTCTCTAATGTCCTGCTTCAGTATTATGCAAGTCTCAGTCCTGATTGGAGGCAGTGCTCACATAAACCTTTAGGTAAACTTTTTTAATTCCATTGTTGCCTATAGGTTTAACTATTATATTCAAGGAGTGAGTTGAGCTGAAATTCAACAGAACCCAGGGTATACTCTAGCAAATATTTTCTAAATTTGTTTTTATCTTTAAATAGTAAGTTCTTATATTAACTTTCCTATTTGTATTTCAGCTATTTCCTAAATAGAGAACTGGGCACATATCTAACTAACTAAACTTTCTGAATAGTTAAAATTTTACCATATAAATCATTGCCCTCTCTTCAAAAGATCATTATCTGTTTTAAAATTACCTTGTTTGTCTCCTGTTAGGACCCAGATCTTAATATTGGCTAGTGATAAACTTAAAACCGTTTCAATAACACCCTCTTGTAACTTGTCTTCTACAGCAGTGGCACCTAGAAGCTTTGTTGAAAAAAGAGAATATCTTATGTTAATGCATGCAAACAATATTCATAACACTTATGGCTTGCAATCACAGAGTGCAGAGGTCAAGAACAGGAATTGAAGGCAAAAAGGATGATGCATTGATATAGTAAACATTCTATTATGTGCAGAGGTGGGTTGGGAAGGACCCAAGAGGAGTTTCTCTAATCAAGCCAACTATTAATAATAGGAACATCAATTACTGGCAAAGATCCTGTTAGCACAAATAATCAGAAGCCATTTGGGCTTGTAAAGACTTAAGAACTCCCCAGCTGCTTCCTGGCCACTGGGGCCTCAGGGAAGAGTAGTTTCTAGAATAAATGATACTCTCATACTCTGGGCAGCAAAGATATCATCAAAATCTAAGATATAAAACTTCCCACTTTTCCTGGCAAGTTTCCTGCCCTAGAAAGATAGATCATAAAGCAGTGAGGGGGGGAAATAACATCAATGACATACCAGAGGTTTGACAAACAATAGGAAGTCTACTATCATCCACTCTAGGGGACTTCCAATTACATAAACTACAACTAATTGAAATAATCCTTTAGGCCTGTGGTCAGCAAACTCTCGAGCCACATGCGGCTCTTTGGCTCCTTGAGTGTGGCTCTTCCACAAAATACCATGGCCTGGGTAAGTCTATTTTGAAGAAGTGGCATTAGAAGAAGTTCAGGTTTAAGAAATTTGGCTCTCAAAAGAAATTTCAATCGTTGTATTATTGATATTTGTCTCTGTTGACTAATGAGTTTGCCAACCACTGCTCTAGGCTTTCACACATGCCAAACTCAAAGCCAACATATAACACATGATTCAATGTTTGAAAAAGTAATATCCGCTGTGTGCAAGATGATTTAGCCAATGGATTATTCCTATCCTAGATCTCTAAACACAAACTGTCCTCTCTATAAACACAAACTATCATGCTTCTAAACTCATACCATCAAATCCCGTTCAATTTCTTCATACAGCCCAGCTATCCGTTCCTCCCTCTCATCAGTGGCAGCATTTGCATCTTCAAGCATCTTATTCCACTCGTTAAAGTACTTATCATCCAGATCTCTGTATGCAATGGCCAGGGTTCGAAGACCTTCCCCTGCAAATTCCTGCCAGAGCAGACATTGTTTTAAGAACCACCTCAAAGCAATAATCACAGCAAGAACAATAACAATAATGGGTAAGAAGTTTTGAACTCAAATTCACTTTGTATCAAGAGCATAACTTGGCCATCTTGACTCCCAATTTTTTAATCTCTTTGAAAATATGAAACAATGTTTGCATTTTGAATTTTATTTCCATTGGGTTAAAACATTCAGGGAAGCTAGCGTTTCCCCTAAAAAATATCTAAAATGCCTGCTGCAGTGTCCTAGTTGAGAGTGATCAATGATGCCGATGACTTGAGATATCCATTTCAACCAACATGTATTGGTTTCCAAACTATCCTCTGCTTGCAAGAAGCCCTCTTGGCAATAAGAGGAACCTGGCCTGTTTCATGGCTGTGTCACTCAGCTGTTAGTGGAAAGAAAATGACGCTTGGAGGAGCCATAGCTCTCATATCAAAGCCAGGGGCTCTCTGAAGAAATTGTAGCATTACAGCTCACTAAAATCTTGTCACATCCCCCTAATAATATAGCTATGTCTAAAATTAGCTCAGTCCTACTTTTGTTTGTGCTTAAAATTTTCAAAAGAAGAAGTTAAAAGTCAATAATAGGTGAATAAATAGATGTTAGTCAGGTAATAGAAGTTTAAGCCTATTAATATTAAGTGATAATAAAAACCCCTGGGGGAGAGAAAGGCAAAAAGTCAATATAAATGTTTGCTTCTGGGAAGTAGGAATAGAAGAGAAGGCTGATTTTTCATTCTAGATCTCCTGTATTTAAAAAAAAATCTCTCTCTCTCTCTCTCTCTCTCTCTCTCTCTCTCTCTATATATATATATATATATATATATGTGTGTGTGTGTGTGTGTGTGTGTGTGTGTGTGTGTGTGTGTGTGTGTGTGTTAGAGGCCCGGTGCATGAAATTCGTGCATGGGGAGGAGGGGGGCAGGGAGGTCCCTCAGCCCAGCCTGCACCCTCTCCAATCTGGGACCCTTCAAGGGATGTCTGATGCTCTCTCACAATCCAGGACTGCTGGTTCTCAACCGCTTGCCTGCCTATCTGCTTGATTGGCCCTAATGGCTTCTGCCTGTCAGCCTGATTACCCCTTAACCACTCCTCTGCCAGCCTAATTGACACCTACTGCTCCCTTTCCAGCCCAATTTGCCCTAACTTCCCTCCCCTGCCAGCCTGGTCACCCCCAACTGCCCTCCCCTACAGTCCTGGTTGCCCTTAACTGCCCTCCCCTGCCAGTCCAATCAATCCTCACTGCCCTCCCCTGCCAGCCTGGTTGCCCCTCACTGCTCTCTCCTGCTGTCCTGGTCACCCCCAACTACCCTCCCTTTCAGGCCTGATCAATCACCCCTAACTGCCCTCCCTTGCAGGTCTGATCACCCTTAAATGCTCTCCCTTGCAGGCCTGGTCCCTCCAAACTGCCCTCCCCTGCTGGCATGATCACCCACAACTGCCAACCCCTGCTGGCCATCTTGTGGCAGCCATCTTATGTCTTCATGGGGGCAGTCATCTTTGACCACATGGGGATAGCCAACTTGTGTATTGGGGTGATGGTCAATTTGCATATTACCTCTTTATTATATAGGACATATATGATAAAATGATTTAAAACTTTAAAGACACTATAAGGTCAGGTTAGTTTTTTTTAATTATTTTTTATAAAACTGTTTCCTATGGAGTTAGTATTTAATAAAAGTTCAAATTAATAGGAGAATTATGCTTTTACTTTCATGTCTCAGTAAACTGACAATCTTAAATGATACTTCTGGTGCTCTATCCTTCTAATAAGGAAACATTTCAAATTAGGAGACTGGTAGTTGCTAAGTTTCTCCCACAGTCACAGTGGCAAGAAACATGTGATTGCTTTGGGAAAATGCTGCAAACCTCCCACTTTGCCTAGTGGTCATTTTAAGGGCCTGTATACTATAAGCGATTTTATAGCTATTCCTATGCTTTTGGCATTGCCATTGAACATACCTTCTCTATGTGCTTTGGCTTACACAACACACAAAGGTTTGTGATCATACATACACAAGTTAAACTGTGACACATTGAAAGGAGATAAATGGAAAGAAAAAGTCAGTGCAGACTGCCCAGAGAGATCATGAGAAAATTTCTCCAAATTTATCTTGTAGGCATTCGGTAGCAGTTTGGATATTACAATCACATTTACAAGCCCTGCCTTTCCAGGACCACCGCTGGGTCCCCTACTGATCGGAACGTGGAGCCACTGTGTTGTAACCATCTTTTATCCTCTTAATTCGCACAAACATTTCTTTGCCTTTAACTTGCAACCCCCTGGGCATTCCTCTCTGTTCTGTACAATAGTGAATCAACTCTAAGAAGACATTACAAAAGGGGACAGATGATTTAAGTTATTTAATTAGTACATGAAACACAAGTTGAATCCTAAATGAGCATTTAAGCAAGGTTGTTTCCTACCATTAAACAATTCAGAATCAATAATTAAATATAAATTTAAAAACCTCAGAATTTGAAAGTCTAAATGAATAAAGTGAATGAAAGCAAAGAACAAATCAAATTGATATTACCTGAAAAAAGTTTTCTTTTGCCTAGGCATGTAAAAAGGCCAAATTAAGCTTCCTATATTTTAGTATGAAAGGCTAACGTACAAAAATCTAGGGCCTTAGTGTTTGAGCAATGACAAAAATTAGATACTTATGATTCCAATGTTGTTCTCATAAAAAAAAAATTAAAAAGACCATGCCAGCCTTCTGGAAGAGATTAAAAGAAAATCAAGAATCCTCTATTGGAAAGACAAAAACAATAGCTATGTTTGTACCCAATATTACTAAACCATCATTTTTTAAACTTTGAGTCAAGTAGAGGTTTTTGGGTTTTTTTAATTCATTTTGTTTGTTTGTTTTTTAAAGATTCAGGGAATGTTTTGTATAAAATATAGGGCTTGACAAAGAACATGAATCCTCAATAATTGTTTAAAGGAGAGAAACCAATGAGGAAATGAGAGTTTTGGCCAGTTGCCCATTAAGTTCATACTGGGTTAAACAGAACCTCAAGAAAATACTAGAGAGACATTTGAACCTTGGATTTAAACTAGGTAATGCTCATATTTAATTCATAGAATCTTACTTTCTTTAAAAAAAAAAAAAAAAAAAAAAAGTTTGTCAAAGATCACCCTGCTCTCCAGAAAACCTTTGGAAAGAAATAATGCATAGGTTCAGAATGTATGCAATTGGTAATTTCAACCCAGGGAACATAAGTGACTCATCATGATTTATGTCCTCAATAAAAAGACCCCTGGAAGAGAAAATTGGCTACAGAGACTATTTTCCCCTCACCCTGTAAACACAACCTTAAGCTTTTCACTGATGATGATCGTAAGAGATTCTGTTGGTGCCAGACACAATGGAACTCAGGTGAAAGCAATTGTCCAGCTTTGCTTCCCTGAACCAGTCCAGTCTCCCATGGGGAGCAGCCCCCAACTTCGGGGGAGTTAGAGCCAGTGTCTGAGCCTTCTCCTGGCTGGAGGTAGGGAGCCCACATTCCAGAGCTACTTCTCAGCTGCTGTGTGTTAATCCACCTGTGATGAGACCAACCAGACTCTCAGCGGAGCAGGAGGTGGGGCCACGTGCCAGTTTCCAGACGTTCACTGGCAGTTTCCTGTGGAACCACTCTCCACATGTTTTTTATTTCAGAAGTCAGATCGTTTAGCTGATATTTTTAAAACAAGACCTAACCATAACAAGTGGCCAAAGGGCCATTGTGCTAACCTTAAAACAGAGGCACTTACACTGATATGGTCTGACGTCAATGCCAGAAGGTCTTCGTTGGACAGATGAAGTTTTTCAAACAAAATCGTGTCTGCTCCTTTGGAATAAAGCTTTATCTGTCCTTCTGGGTTCCTAACTGAAAAGAAAAAAAAGTTTGGAAAGTAGGTTATAATCAATAAAATCTGTCAAACCGAGGCTCTCCCAGGGCTCCACCCAGGCAATTTGGAAATGTCCATGTTTCAGCCAGTAGTAAAATATTCAGTGTCTATGGTTAGAAGGTCACTATCTAAGTTGCTTGGCTTTATTCCTGTTTTATTAACTTAGAAATATTTCATCCATTGGAATCCTTTGATTTCCCTAACTCAGAAACGAGTGTTTTTGTTCTGATGTGTATGGCCTTCCTATTTTTCTTACTTACTGTTTCCGAAGGCTTGGTGCATTTAAATTAAGCCTATATTTAGCAGAATTGGGAGCTTAATTTCCTCTCTCCTGGTGTGAAATTTAAGACCCACAGTAGGAATCAACTAACTGTCAATGTTATGCCAAATGATCTCCATATGGAATTCAGGCCATTCAAACCAATGTTTTATGCATTAGTTCTCAGCCCCTGTTAACATAGTTCTTTACCCCTTTACTCCTTGGAAAAGCCCTTTCATTCTTGGTGGTTCATTCCTGAGTCACAATCCTGACTGTAAGGATGTCTCACAGGGGGCTTTCAAAATCAAGGTTTCTACCTTCTTCCCACTGGAAGCTGTTATTAGGATGGCTGAGTTTTTAACCTGCTCCCAGGTTTGGGAAGGACAGTCTTCACTGGGCTCCCCTCATCTCCAGTACCCAATCCTCCCTCTGATGTTCCACATGTTACCGTCAGACAAGTCTGTTTTTAAACTGCAGATTACTTGGCCTACCTTTGTAGGCTTAGCTTTACACCTTGGCACATACGAGGCACTTGTTATTTACTAAATGAAAAAAAAAATGAATGATTGGATGGCATGGCAATGTATTTCTTTCCAGGAACTGCTTACAATTTAAGACAACTGCCTGGGTCACAACTTCATGATCTGAACACACTGACCCTCACAAGCTTCATCGAGCCATAGACTATACATGCTTTCCACTCAATGATACCTTTCCCCTACAGAGAGAATGCCTCAAAACAAATGAACATAAATATGGATTACTATTAATTTAATAGGACTCAAAATTTGCAACTTGATTTTAAAAAAATACAAAGATCATTGTATAATAAATTATTTTTATATACTTAGTTGACATTAATCAGTTCTAGTTTCCCCCTGGCTTAGATAGATCTAATGCACCCTGGAAACGATTTTGTACCGAGACTTGTCTAGCTAAGTTCATCAGCTCTTCTAAGGTCCTTGATCAGATTTTCTAGTAGCAGTTTTCTTACACTCTTGCTTTAATTGCCCACATTAGAGGGAAAGAGAGAAAATATATATGCAATTTATCTCATTGTTCAAGTGGGGAGAGGAGCATTTAATCCTAGCAAAGGCTTCCTCTTACTTTTATAATAATCCAGTTTGATCATTTCCCAAATAATTTCTTCCTCGCATCACCAGAGCTATGAAAGCAAAGCTTTGCCAGTAGGACTTCCCTGTGACCATTTTTGATAGTCCAGACTAGGACATCTGTTCTCAAACTTTTGGGTCTCAAAACCCCTTTTCCCTCTTAAAACTTCATGAAGACTCCAAAGAGCTTTTAATACGGGTTCTATCAATATTTACCATACTAGAAATTAAAACTGATAAATTTTATTATATAAATAGTCTTATGACACTATATTACTATGATAATCATTATTATAATAATAAACCTATTACATAAATAACATTTTTATGAACTAGAACTATATTTTTCCAGAACAATAAAATTTAGTTTGGGAGTGCATTGTTACATGGTTATAGGTCCCTTTAATGTCTGGTCTAATAGGAGACAGTTGGATTTTCATATCTGCTTTACATTCAATCTGTTGTGATATTACAGAGCATGTGGTCTTTGTAAAACTCCACAGTATACTCAGTACAGAAAGAATGAAAAAGACATTATTATTATCATTATTATTATTATTATTATTATTGTAGTTTTGTCCTTGTGTATCCTCTAAAAAACACTCCAGGTTTCCTAGGGTTCCCCAGACAACACATTGAGAACCACATGTCTAGGGAAATCACAAATATGACTTGCACAAATTCCTTAACATCTTTTTGTCTCAGTTCCTACATGTGAAAAAGGAGACATTTTAAAAAAATATATAACTTCTAAGGTCCTTTTCAGCTGAACAACTTTCTGATGCTGTCTCCTAACTCAGCATTGGCCCCTCTAATGGATACATTATCTTCCTTCAATAACTAGCTACTGCTCCTTTGCCCCCAGATTCAATAACCAGAGTCCTTGTTCACTTAGCCTCCAGATCAGATATCTGGCCATCATTCAGCTACCCTCCTTCACACCCATACATCCAACTGAAGTCATGAATTTCTCTCTTGCCTAGATTATCACATTAACCTACATGGTTTTACTCTTTCCAGTCCTGCTTTTCCCAGACTCTTCTATTATCCAGACAGAATCATCTTCCCACTAATGCTTAGAGTCCTGCAACAGCTTCCCTCTAACCTTAGATGAGGTGTGATTCCTTAACATAGCATACTCAGGGGCCATCCAGAGCTGCCCTTTTCCAGCCTGTTTCCTGCCCTGCTTTGCCATCTTCTCCTCCATGCTACCACACAGAACATGTTTTAATTCCACCTTCTCTTTAGCTTCAAGTCCCTGAAACATGGTAAGCACTTAATAAACATTTGTGTAATTGAGTTGAATTATAATGATATGAAATTTATTGAGAGCAGCAGCTATGGCTTTGTGACATAAAGGAAAGACAAAGGTCAGAAACAGTTACAGGCTTATGCTGTAAGAGTCAATGCAATAGCAGCACTGTGAAGGGTGATCAATAATTCTGCTTTGCATCTCAGTTGGGTGGCTGTTCATACATTCACACTGAGAAAGGCCTGACATGGCAATATGATTCTTACTGATAAGCATTGAACAGTTTAGAGTTGAGCAACCCTTAAATAAGGGCTTTTCAAAGAGCTTTTATAATGTATTCTTTGTTAATAATTACTTGCCACTAGCCTCTATTATAACTGTCTTTGAACTTTATCTCTGTGTTTTTATTTACATAATTAGTTGAATTCCTGCTTCTAAAACTACATAATGAGATTTATATGTTTATCAATATAGTAGATCCTAAACCCTCTGGCATAAGTCTCTATAGAAATCAATTTTTATTTATATACCCCTAAGTTAAATCAGGGGTCTTGCTCCAGAATGAAAGTACTATTGGTACACATTTGTGGTTCAACAAATGATAGGCAAAAGGGGGGAGAAGAAAAAGAGTGAGGAAGAGAGGAGAAGGGAAAGAACAGAAGAGAAGGAAAAGGAAGGAAAACAAAGAAGAAAAAAGAGTAAAAGGAGGAGGAGGAGGAGGCGAAACATAGCAAATGTCTGAGCCTTCACTTCACATCAGGGTGTTTTCCCCACAGACCAAGCCATGTGACAACCATGAGACTGGCATTGTTTTTACCTTGTTATCAAACAGAGACTTTTGTACCCTTGTGCAGTCTCTCTTTCAAAGTCCGCCAGATTAAAAGCCACACAGAACCAAAATAAAGCCCTCAGGCCTCCATGCGTTCTGTGGTGGAACATTACCTTTCTTCATATGGGATCCATTAAGGCAAACATCTGATGTTTGTGATTAGGCTGTGATTTCTCCACAGCCTGCAATGGTGACTGATGCTGGAGAAAAGCCAAAAGTTTCCCTGTGTAGCAATCTTAGGTTTTTGTCAACACCCTCAGAGCCAATTCTGAGCCAACCCAATATCAACAACACCTCCCCTGAAGCTGTAAATAGAAGATAGCTCCCACTGATACCACATTAGGTTGACACTTAAAGCAGCAGCATCTGAAGGAACTGTTTGACATTGAAATTGGATCTCAAAAGAACTGCTGGCCCAGAAAGAAACTCACTACAGACTGATTAATTTGCCTTTCAGCATAACCATTATTGCTTGTCTCATTTTCGATTCTTATAAATATATTTCCAGAAGGACATGATCTCACTCATCTAGGGGAAATGGTGAACAACATAGACTGATGAACAAGAACAGACCCAGAGATAAGGAGCCATGGGTCAGACTGTTGGACCTCTCAGAGGGAGGGTGGAGATAAAAGAGAGAGATCAACCAAAGGACTTGTGTGCATATATATGAGCCTAACCAGTGGACAAGGACAATAGGGAGGTGGGGGAATGTGGGAGGAGGGGAAGGGGATTGGAATGAGGGGTTGAAGACAAATATTTGATACCTTAATCAATAAAGAAAATTAAAAAAAGAAAAAAGAAAAGAAAAAAAAAACAGCATCTGTTCTCACTGGCAACATCAATGATAACTGCCTATAACCTGTTGTTAAAAATATAAAAATAAACATTCTCAGATGATGTTTAGTTTTCACCTACTGAGAGCAATCTTCTAGGGCTAGTTTCCAGTAAAGACCAAAAACCCTACAATTACATAAACACATAGTTTTTTCACAGTAGAAAGTGATTTAATATGAGGATCGGGATAGCCATAAGTTACAAAGTATTGGGTTATGTTTTATTTAACACACATTTATAGAAAACCTACTGTGTGCTAAGCTCTATGCTTGGCTCTGGGCAGTATAAGACTAAGGCATGCCCTGGCCAGTGTTGCTCAGTGGTTGCACAAAAAGGTTGCTGGTTTGAAACCGGATCAGAGCATATGCCTGGGTTACAGGCTCAATCCCCAGTAGGGGGCATGCAGGAGGCAGCCCAATGATGTTTTGGTCTCATATTGATGTTTCTCTCTCTCCCTTTCCCTTCCTCTCTCTCTAAAAATCAATAAAAGTATTTTTAAAAGAATAGAATTTAAAAAAAGAAGACTAAGTCAAAATTAATGCATAGCACCTGCCTTCAGGTGGTACACACCCAACAACTGGGAAAGTCGTGACTTTCGTGTGACTGGTATGGCACTCATGTTATGAACAAGGAGCTCAGATTAACAAAGGAGAATACAGTTATTTGGAAAGTAGGAAAAGAATCGAGAGAAGAGGTAGCATTTGAACTGGACATTACCAGGTGAGTAGAAGTTTTTTAAGAAAGAAGTAGAGAAAAGGAGAGTTCTTAGGCAAGGGAAACAGCACACACAAAGGTTGTGAAAGTGCACAATGCATGCCAGGAATAGTGAAGTCTAATGAGTTGGAGCATAACATTTGGAGAAGTGGGAAAAAATCAGATAGCAGTCAGATTGCAAATAATCTGGAATCACATCCTAAGGACTTTATCCTTTAAATTCTATGAAGCCATCAAGGTTTTTTAAGAGAGTGATGGCAAAATCAGCCCAATGTTTTAATAAAAATGCAAGCAAGCAGTGATGAGAGACTTAACTAAAGCCATGGTACTGGAAAGTAAGGGAAAAGGAAAGAAGGCTTTTACAATAAAAGGAGGTTTTGAGGCTAATTTTTAAAAGAAACACGGTGACTACTGAGGACTCTGTAAATAAGGCAAGAGATGCTGAGGCCTGAGTGGAGAGATTAGCAAAGAAGGACATAGGTTTCAGAAATGCTCCTCACAGCTCTTGGGAACATAAGGAGTAGTATCTGATGATCTATCAGTCCAGGAAAGTGGTCCCCAAACTATGGTCCCCTGACCAGCAGTACCAGTGTTGGCATAATGCAGGAGCTTGTTAGACATGTACTAATAAATGGTTAGGCCCCACCCCAAACCTACTGAGTTAGAAACTCTGGGCCTGAGGCCCAGCAATCTGTGTTTTTACAAGCTTTCCTGGTGGTTCTGATGGGAGGTAAAGTTAGAGAACCACTAACCTAGGGGCATAAAAGAGATGAGCTGTCAAAAGCAAGTGAGTTAAAATAGAGGTTAAGAGAACAGACTTTGGAGAAAGATAGACCTGAGTTCAAATATTTGCTCTGTATCTTACCAGCTGTATGAGAAGTCATGTGACAGATGTGGGACAATCTTTGGTAAGTGACTTAAAATCTTTGACCTTTAATTTCCTCATCTCCTAAATGAGGTAACATAATAAAATAGTTCATTTTAAAGTGCTCCATTTACTCATAGGAATACAGTAAAAAGTGATTGTTAGCAATTTTAATAAGGGTTATCGAAAAAAGCAACAACTGTGAAAGAAAGCTCTATATTAGACATGTAACATTTGAGGTAACTATAGTATAACCCATTGGCAGAATTCAGGAGAAAACTGAGTATGTGTGTGGACCTCCGAAAGAGACTAAAGCTAAAGAACTCTACAGGAAGGACATGGAATATAGGCAATAGTTATCACTATGTGAGTGGTCAAGATTATCCAAGAGAAGCCCAGGAAATAAGAAGAGAAAAGGACAATACTGGAGAATGGGATGGAGAGTAGTCAGCAAAGGAATTAGAGAAAGAAAAGACAGAACGAGAGGAGACCCAAGAGTCAGTGAGGTCACAGAGGCCAAAAGAGGAATGTTAAGAGAAGGTCAACAGGCTCAGTATTAGTAAGTTTAAAGAGATAGATGGGTAGGTAGGTAAGTAGGCAGAAAGATACATAGATGATTAGATAAATGATAGGAGATAGATGATAGATAGATGATAGATAGATAGATAGATAGATAGATAGATAGATAGATAGATAGATGATAGATAAAGAAGATAACTGCATGGAGAAGCGGTGAGATGATTGAAAACCTCAGAAAGCATTCTTCTTGAGTAGTGGAAACAGAAGCTCACCCTAATAGGCTGAAAAGAGAAATAAAGGTGAAGAGAAAAAACTGACCTTGAAAAATTAAACCATGATGGAAGGAAGAAAAATGGGGTGGCAAAATCAGTAGAAATCAGCATGAACAATAACTTTAAGGAAATAGGATAATTACAGAGTTGTGGGCTGAAGTAAGAAGCCAGTGATAAAGAAGAAATCAAAGACGTTAAGGAAGAAGGGAAGGAAGCAGCAAGGGAGGGAGGGAGTTGAGGATGGGAGAGAGGGAGTTGAGGGAGGGAAGGAGTTGAGGAAGGAAGGGAGGGGACCAGATAGAACCTTCAGCTTTGAAAAGGAACAAGAGCAATTTTTCTCTCTGAGTCAAGGGGGAAAATGAGTACAGTTACAACTTGGGGACGAAGGAGAAGGATAGGGAAACATATAAGTTTATGGTGCACATCTCAGAAGGCCTCTATATTTTTTTTCTATTTTTTAGAGAAATAGATGAATTTTGCTTCTAAAAGTGAAGGAGATCATGACAAATCTGAGGACTTGAGGGAAGGGCAAAGGCTTAGAACACCTGTTGGAAGGACTGGAATGAGGAGCAAAGTGCCAATGAGAGAGACACTGAGGCAGCACTGAGGATTAACACAGTTTAAAAATCATCCTTTGTTGTGGTATCAAATATAATTTTAGGTGATCATCTCCAGTAATCCAGAAAAGAGAGTCAATGAGTGATAACGAGCGGCTGATAATGGTGTTCACAAAACGACAATATCAACAATAACTAGCAGGTGCCAAAGAATTCAGGAATTCATCCTGAGCGTGTGTAGTGATGAAATGAAGGGGCTTGTCAGTCAGAACTCCTAGATTTAAATCCCAGATATTCCACTTCAAGCTACGTGATCTAGGTCAAGTTACTCAATTAAAATGGTCGTTAAAATATGGTATGTACCATATTTTAAACCCTACCAAAATTAGGGTTTTGTGACAATTAAATCTGTTCATTCATGTATGGTATTTAGAACAGTGCTAGACACATAATGAGTATTTGTTAAACGTTAGTTATGCTTATTACACAGTGTCCAGGTTAAGTTGAGGATGATAGAAGTTCACAAAGCTACAAAAATATCACAACTCTGAGCACATAATCAAGAGCAAATTATCCATGAGAAGCATCAATATAACCATAGCAAAGCTCAAAAATAATCTCAGCTACCAACCGCACCTATGACAGACATCCTTTTCCTGACATTGTTGAAATCCAAAAAGGCAAGTAATTGGTAAGTAACTAGTGTTCCCAATTCTTCTATTGTTATTGTCTCTGGGGTCCGAGACTTAAAAATAAAACCAAAATTTCTTGCAGCAGTCACTAGAGCCCCTTCATCAGGTGATTGAACTTGATAAATCAGCTGTCCTAAGAGGAGGGAAAAAAAGTGGATTAAACAACAATCAAGAAAGGGTATTTTGAAAAAGGAAAATAAACAAATGTATGAATACTAAAAAGAATAGCTTAACATTCATAGAATTCCAATACCAACTTCAACTCATTCTTCAACACTCAGCTCAAATGATAGCTCTAGAAATCAGACATTTTCTACTCACATACCAGCTAGAGCAGGCGTTTATCCTGTGAGCTATGCATACTACTAGTGTAACTTGTGTCATCTTATCTTAAAAGATAGTTGTTGCTGAGTGTGCCTCTCCACTATGCTGCAAGTGTCTTAAGGAAGAGACCATACCTTTGTATTTTCAGTAACAAGAAATGTACCATGAAAGTTTCATCAGCTAAAACACTTAATATCTATTAACTCACATAATCCTCATGGCAAGCCTTGAATATCGGGGTTATGATTGGAGAGGTTATGGTTTTTGCATAATCACACAGTCAAAGAATAATGGAGCAGATATTCCAAATTCCACTTCAGTCAGCCACTAAAGACCTTTCTATGAGAAGGTATATAAGAAATTCCCTAAAATTTAAGGAACCAAACCAGATGTTAATCCTTGGCCTCTGGTAATATGTATGTGTTGGGGTGAGGGTAAGAGAGAGAAATAATAAAGAAAATAACACAAAATAAGACAATGCACTTTAGAAAAATAGTATTATAAAGTAAGCCTTCCTACATAAATTTAGTATGTTATCTTTGTAGGTAAAAATCAATTAGAAAAAATAGACAAAGCTAGATCCACATTTACTGATTTATAGTGGTGGCCAACGTAAATTGTTAAGAATACAAGCAGTATATTAATGTATATACTGTGATCCTTTTCATTAAAAACAAATAAACCATCTACTATCTGTAACTGGAATAGGTGAAATGATTCACACCAAAAGTTACCATTGGTTACCCCTATATTGGAATTATTAAAAATAGCACATTACAAATATTTAATAGATTTTAAAGCATAAAAAAGAGGCACGAAATTAAGCAGATGTGAAAAAGTATTAAAGGTTTTAAAGAAATTAAAAATTAAGAAACTACAGGTTAGATACAATCAGAGAAAGAGTTAGTGTGCTGAAAAAAATAAAGAAAACTCCAGAATACATCCCAGAGAGATAAAGGAATGGAAAAATGAGAGACGTGTTAAAAGACATAGAGAATATAGGTCCAGAGGCATGGATGCATTGGACAGGCTATGCCGGGAACCAGTTCCAACATGTCATAATTACAACAGTTCCATCAAAAGGTTGGTGAACTTGGGGGGCTCAACAAGGGCTGAGCCACAAATGTAGTTTACCTGTTGGAATGGCTAAAAAGCATCTCCCCCAAGCCTGAATAAGATTGCTATCTGCCAGACAGCTCAGGACATCTTAGTCTACATGTGATTGCCTCCTGTTGGCCAAACACCTGAACAGCTGGAGGCTATTCCCCAACCTGACAATGCTTCTGTAAACCCTACCCTTTGAAACCCTACCCTTTGAAGTGTATTATTTCCACTTATCCCCCTGGGATCCCTCGGGGGATGTTGAAGAGCCAGCTTCAGCCCGATCCCCATAGGCCAGGCAGAGGGACCCCACCTGCCAGAGGGATCCCATTCATGCCACAGATGACCTTCCAGTTGTGGTGCCACCCCAGGTACAGCCAGCTAGGGAGAGACTGCGGGAGGTTGGCTCCAAGGTGTGTCCAGCCTGTCTCACCCAGTCCCACCCCACTAGCCACCTTCAAATTTATTTCCTCTCAATGTGCATGAATCTGTGCACCAGAGCACTAGTATATGTATAAAGAATCTACAGTCTATATATACAGTATTTCACTTTTGAATTTAATTACTTGGGTGATACTTCTTAGTCAATAGTTGGTAGTAGAAAGAAAAATAACTTGCAAATAAAATAGTTTGGGCTTGATTAGAATAAGAAGCTGATTCATTCACACCATTATCTACCCATTTCATCACTTTAATATCAAAGTGGCCCCACTAATTTTGTTCTATTCTAGGAACTCTGAGCTTCTATACAACCATCTTACTAAGTGTGAAGACTTGTTCATACTGAGGACTATATAAGAGCATTATTTTATCAGTATAAATCTACCCCCATTACTGGAAAAATTCATTGTGACAATATACCTGATGTCATCTGTATCTATTAAATGGGTATGTGAATAATTGAGAGATAACTGGAAAATATTCAGGATATAAATAAATATAAAGAAAAGCTAGTGTAGTAGATAAGCCTCTATGCAAAGTTGTATTTTTTTAAAATATATTTTATTGATTGTTTACAGAGAAGAAGAGAGAGGGATAGAGAGTTAGAAATATCAATGAGAGAGAATCATCGATCAGCTGCCTCTTGCACACCCCCTGCTGGGGATGTTCTTGCAACCAAGGTACATGCCCTTGACCATAATCGAACCTAGGACCTTTCAGTCCGCAGGCCAATGCTCTATCCACTGAGCCAAACCGGTTTAGGCCAAAGTTGTATTTTTAATTAGAAAATCCTTCCAATTCCAAACGTTTTAAATAAAAATATCAGTTCTGATTTAAAAACCAAGGCTCACCACTTAGACACACTTTCACTTACCTGCACTGTTTTCCTCTGACATCACAGTGTGGCAGAGAGCAAGTAGCCGCAGGAATTCATGCACTTTGGAATCGCCCAGTTTAATGGATTCCATCAGAGAGTGGTCAAAAAACTGAAATGTTTTATCTACTTGGGGGTTGACTGAGAAATCCACAGGCTTTTTTTTCTGTAGGGGAACAACAACAAAAAAGAACTAGAAACCTGGTTCCAACAGTCATATTTTAAAATTCAAAAACATTTCCTCTAAGCATTTTTAGTGCTTATTTGATTTTTCAGCATCGAACGTCTGGCACTAAAATGGCTTTCTGTTTCATTGCCGTGAAATGCCGTCTTCTCATTCCAGAGCCATGCAGCAGATAGCGAGCTTTCCAAAAGCCTATGAGGGAAAATATCCAATGGCTGTAAAAATCCTCAAGAGCTTATTGCAACTCCAAAATACAAAGAAGCCCTGCAAACTGAGAGGTTTTTTTCCCCCAAATCTTACTTGATAGCAAAACCTGACCAGACTTGAACTCATTTTGATTGCAAAATCTGACCTGGATTGATATGTGTCTAGTTTTAGATTTTTTTTTTAGCCTGCTTAGTGTGAATTAATACCTTCTGATACAAAAATACTGTGTTTGACTATAGAATACTTTCTCAGAACTCACTCAGTCCCAATCGGCAGTACATCAGCAGCAAGCTAACTGATCAAAGCATCTGCCCCTGGTGGTCAGAGCACATCATAGCGACTGATCGACTGGTCTACTGTCTGCCCCCTGGAGGTCAGTGCATGGCATAGCAAGTGGTTGAGCAGCCTTAGAATGTCATTAGCATATTATGCTTTGATTGGTTGTTTGGTTGTTCTGCTGTTTGGTCTATTTGCATATTACCCTAAAATATAGGATATATGATAAGACCATATATAAGACACTCAATTAGTTGTGTTTATTTCAGAATCACAAAGACTTATTTAATCACTGATTATTTTTTCAATGTAATAAGTTTTGAACAAAATTTATTGGGGAGGCTTATTTCACTTAGCATAATGCTCTCCAGTTCCATCCATGCTGCTGCAAATAGTAGGAATTCCTTCTTTTTTATAGCAGCATAGTATTCCATTGTATAGATTTATCATAGTTTTCTAATCCACTCATCTGCTGATGGGCATTTGAAAGAAAAATTCCACATGATCTCACTCATTTATGGATAATAAAGAACATTATAACTTGATGAGCAAAAAGATAGATACAGAGGCAGTAAAGCACCAAACAGACTGTCAAATTACAGCGGGAAGGCTGGGGAATTTTGGGGAGGGGGAAAAGAGATCAACCAAAGGACTTGTATGCATGCATGTAAGCACAACCAATGGACACAAGACACTGGGGGCGTGGGATGAGGGCATGTGACAGGGGGTAGGGGAGGTTGGGGGAAGGTCTATGGGGGGGAAAGGAGTTATATACTACTATATGTAATACTTTAAACAATAAAAAAATTAAAAAATATTATTGGGGAGGAAAATGATTAACTCACTAATAAGAAGTAAAATACACACTAACCTTAGATATCCCTGAATATTCCCACATCCCCACTCCCCCAAAAGAAATTGTGACTCAAAAGATAATAGCCAAACTGTTATTCAAATATAAAGTCAACAGATGGTTTTGAACAGATACTTCTTAATCCTCTTGAAACTGGATTAACTGGAAAAAACATGGGAAAGAGACTAGTTGGTGGTGAGCACCAAATCTCTCTAACTGAAGGAGTAAGTCTAAAAGAAATAGAGAGATTATCATAGTACAACAAAATATATAGGGCATTAATAAAGATTAAAAAGCAGAACTTATTGATTAAAAGGCAAGAAAAATATATAAAATAATAAATTCAAAAGCTGTACTTGGAAGTAGATAGTAGAAAAATTATGTAATACTTTCCTAAATATTACAGGAAATGTATATAGACACAAAGGATAACCTAAAATATTATAACAGAACTAAGAGAACACATACCTAATGTAAGTGGCCCATCACTTATTTTAAAAAGTTGGAGAATCAATACTGTGTGTATGCAACTGTGTGCCATTATATGTACAATGAGATTTTTGTGATTGGAGTGCATGTAGGTTTGCCATCCCTGCTTGCTTAATTTTACTACTTGGCTGCCATTTCTTATCAATCTTATGGATATGTGCTATTTGTCTACTACTATGTGTCTATAATTCACTGTAAAGCCTTTTGAAATGAGACATAGTATAGGTCAAATGAACAAGCAAATAAAAAAGAAGAAATAAAATAACAAGTTTGAAAGTTTGGAATGCAAAGCAAAATCTAAGCCTATGCTGCACACAGAGACACACCTAAAATAGTCATTCAGGAACATTGAAAATAAAAAGTGGACAAATGAAAATGAAAAGAAACCATAAGTCATGATCTTAATAGCAAATAAGATTAAATTCAGGCCAAGAAGAATCAAATAAGTCAAAGAAGAGCACTTTTAATATTAAATTGTATAATTCATAATAAAAATATACCACTATAAACATTAATGCACTCCAAAATAGCAAAACAAAACAAAAAGTTCAGGTTATATAGGAGCAAGAGAAAGATTATCAGAATACTTTAATTAACCTATTTAATCAAAAGAGATAATATAGATAAAAGATAAATAATAAAACATAAAACCTAAATAATATAATTAATAAGGCAGTACTAAATGACATTTAGCTAATTTTATACTTTGAAAACAGAATATACATATGGTTTCTTTTTAAGAACTCTGGAACATTGAAAATAATAAGACACAAAGAAAACTCCAAAAAATTCCAAAAATGCAAATATATTCTTTTATTAAAAGTATAATCAAGTCAGAGGGGGAAAGCCCCTACCACTTGGACATTTTAAAACTCTTTCTTAAAAATTGATTGTTCAATATAAATATTCAAATAGACATGATAAAGATAATTTTACAAACTACATACCCAAATCCATGTGGTAAAACTAAAGCAGTGCTCAGGGGAAATTAACAACCATAAATATTTGTATTTTTAAAAAGGAAGAATAAAAGCAAAATTTTAAACATCCGATTAAAAAATTGGGGGAAAACAACAAAAGAAAGTTAAGGAGTGATGAAAGAATGCATTAATAAAGATAAAAGCAGAACTTATTGATTAAAAGGCAATAAAAAATAAATAAATAATAAATTCAAAAGCAGTACTTTATTTGGGAGAAAAGGGCAACTTTCTAAAATAATCAAGAAGGGGAAAAATAAGAAATGAGAAAAATACCCTGTTTCTCCAAAAATAAGACATCTTCCAAAAATAAGACCTAGTGCATGGAAAGATAAGACAACCCCTGAAAACAAGACCTAGCACAACTTTGGGAGAAAAAATTAATATAAGACACTGTCTTATTTTCGGGGAAACAGGGTAGTCACAGATAAAGAAGAAATTAATAGAATCATAACAGATCTTTTTGTTCAAGTCTTTGCAAATAAATCTGGAAATCCTTTTGAATTGGGGAATATTGTAGGAAAATATAATTTCCCAAACCATTTCAGAAGAGTTAGAAATTCTAAACAGATAAATACCATGAGAAAGAAAATATGATTATCAAAGGGTTACTACCTAAACACCACCAGGTCTACATGATTTTACAGGAATTTTATGAAAATTTTAAGACACAGAACATTTAAATTATCCTATGGAATATTAGTGAAAAAAATCTTTTCTAAAGCAAATATAACATTGGTAGCAAAGCAAACATTACCTCCAAAATGGACATTAAGGACTAACATGCCTTACAAATCCCAATGCATATATCTAAATAAAGCATTAGCAAACAGAATCTAGTAGCTTTCCAGATTCTGAAAAATAAAATTAACATAAGTGATATTTATTCTCAGAAACAAATGACTAGATGATAATTCAATATAAAAGTGGGTAAAATATTATGAACCAGAAGTTCACAGTAAAGAAAATACAATAAGCTATTAAAAGTATGAGAAGATGTTCAACCTCATTCATAATAAGAGAAATTAAAATTTGAAACATTTTTATATACTGTGTCTTACATAGTCTGTCAATGATCAAAAATTCTGATACAACATAGTATTGGTGTTTTTGTGGGAGAGTAAATTGGTATAAATTCTAAAAAGGGTAATCTGGCAATATTTATCAAGTTACAAAGCGCATGCCTTTTGAGCTGGTAATTCATTTCTAAAAACGGAACTTGTTAGAATATAGCATCCATGTGAAACAGCATAGGTACACACTGTCATTTTTGCTGCATTTTCTTTAATAACAAAATATTGAAAATACCCTGAATGTCCAAGTGTCTCCTTACATAAATTACAGAAGAGCAATGTAACAAAATACTATAAGTTATTAAAAAGAATAAGAAGTACTCTTTTTTTTTTTTTACTGATCAAGAAAAATCTCCAAACTGCATTGCTGAGAAAGTTGAAAGAACAGGGTATATATCTACCTTAAAAAGTGGAGAAATACATTTGCTTGCATATATACAAATATTAGAATAAGGAAGTGGTAATTATGGGGTTGGAAACCTGCATAAGAAGAAATTTTGAATTGTATAAATATTTTAATGTTATGTATCTCATCTGGTCATAGCAGATATTAGACCTTTAGGAATTCATCATTTTAAAAGCATGCACAATCTGAAATTTAAAGTAAAAATGAAATTTTATCACCTCCACACCTTAGTTATGTCTGTCTTCTGACCCAGGTCATCATGTTCTTCACCTGCCAAACAAAAAATGAGAAAACTAAATGAAATTGAAACTAGATTTAGACATTTAATCTTCAGGAATGCACTTATTAAAGTACCACTACTGGATGGTATTTTCGGTTCAAAGGTAGACTTTTTAGGAGTATTTTCAAATTGTAACCTTAAACATGGCTTTCTACAGAGATAGATACTCATGTTTGCCCAAGATAAAACTACCATGCAGTATGCATTTAAGCAAAATTTACAATTATGTATTTCTGATATTTCATTATTCTGGCATTATATTACCTATGATGTTTGTGAGATGCAAATTTTACCTTCTACTCCCCACTGTTGGGGAGTCCAAAATTATATCCAATACAGACCAATTGTTGTCAATGCTAGAGTTTGTGAGTACATCTTTGTCTACCGTGGTTGAGGCCAGATACAACTGTGTATTATGAAGTTCAGACGAGCATGTAAACTTTAGCCACCTACTATATGTGCCAGACACTTAAAAATAACTTCTTAGGATAAAGCCAATATCTGATCATTATAGATATATTGTAAAATACTGGACAATTATAATATAAATGTTTAAAAGTCCTGCACCCAGAGAAAACCAATATTTGCAGAGTTGTTTTGAGGTTGATTATACTAGTATGTGTGTGTATGTTGTGTATATGTTTGCAGATATACAGATATTCATCATACTAGTCATAAATGTCTGCTTCCTGCTGATTTTTAACTAGAATTGCTCCCAACACTAAAAGTTCTTTGTGAATCTAATTTTGAAGAATTGTATGATATCCCATGTAGCATCATTTATTTTTGCTTTATCCTATCTGTAGGTCTTTTAAGATTTTTATAATTTTTGCTAGGCATTTGAAGGTTTAATACTATTAGCCAGGACTATAATTCTTGTAAAAATAATGAATTATTTGCATCTATCCTGTGCCAGAAGCTTACATTATCACTGATTTGTATAACAAATCTGCCAGGTGAAGATTTTCATTCCTGTTTTATGGATGAGTGAACTGAAGAACGGAGTTCAATGTAACATGACTAAACTAAAATTGCAAAGGCAGAGAGTAGGTTTTTTAACTTAAGCCTCTCTCTTATCACTATATAATGCTGTGACAAAAAAAGACACTTGATTAACAGTTATTTGTTGTGTTTTTGAGGCACAGGTCTAAATGTGAGCTGCTATGTGGGAGGAGTCCTTGCGCTAGTAAATAAAACCTAACCAAGCACCTTGATTTAAATTTCAGACTCACCGTGCTTGTTTCAGTCCTTACCCCATATACAATAACTCTAGTAAAGAATGAAAAAAAACTGTTTCTTGGTGTAAAACCGCCCCCCCAAAGAAAGCTCACCTTTAGGGTTATGATCAGAGTGAAGGAAAATTAGAGGTCTAAGAAAAATAATAGTTCTTAGACAGAAAATAGATGATTTAAACAAATCAGAGTATAATGTCAAAAATTGGCAAGGCCTGGATCTATGGTATCAATAATACCAACATGTATGATAACAGGGAAAAGTTATTCTGAAACATAAATTAATATGGCATACAAATTAAGGGTCTAAAGATGTTGCTTAAATATTTCAGTTACTTTGCTGCATTTTATGAGGAAATTATAAGCTATTATGGAATTTGTAAGTTGTAGATTTGCAAAGATCTTAGGATATTTACTTTGTGAATATCAAAGGCCTTCTCTAAAAATATTCCTGTGACAAACCACTCTACAAACAAATCTGGGTCTATATGTCTGATATTACACTTAACATCGTTTCCTAGAAGTGATATTATATTATCAATAGGTGCCATGGCAAAATAATTCAAAAGTTCCCCCAAATCCAAAATACCTCTAATACTCTAGAATTTTCCCATTTAAACTACTCTTTGGGTTAAGACAGTATTTTGAATGTCTTTAAAATAATATCCATAAAGCTTTCAAAGGAAAGGTTCTATTTTATTTACTAGCAATTATGATAGGGATATATGAAATGCACAATATAGCTGAGGCTTGTGGGAATCCAGGTTAAAAACCATCTGGTCCACTCCATGGAAATAGGGAGCATTGGAGGGGTGAGGAAACCATGGTGCCCCTGGGTTACAAGGCTGGGTTGAAAGAGGGAGGTTAAAAGGCAGGGAAGTATAAAAACCAACATCTTGTGTTCTTAATTTTGTTTAAGGTCAAATCTTACTTTAAAATATTTAGGTTTTATTCACTAGCGCAAGGACAAATATTTTGGAGGATGTGAAGTTTCCTATCAGGAGACAATGGGAATTTATTCCTGTGTTTCTTGGATTTCCTTTACTTCCTGAGATTTCTGTATGGAGAAACTGGACTCTCAGAATCCAGTGAAATAAGATCAGGAATCCAGGGGGACCCAACAAAAACCTTCTGCATAGTGTCCATGCTCTCAGCAGAAGGAATTGTCTGCTAATTGACCAGACTCTGGGTGAGAAAGATCACATATAAATAGAATGCTTGAAGTTCAAATACAGAGCAGATATCCGGACAAAGCTTACAAACAGGAACTGCTTGTTTGATGAACTAGCTTGTTTGGCCCCTCAAAGTAGCTCTCTACAATGTGAATTCTCATGAATGAATAGTAAATTCTCACAAATACAGGCACTAACATCAATTCCAGAGATGATGGAAAGGATGTATAGAATACTACCAAGAACTTGTCCTCTCTGGGATATGGACCTATTAAGTACCACAAAGCAGAATCACAGAGTTGGAACACCGAATGGAACTTCAGACAGTACCACATCTAAGCCCCTTCTTTACCCATGAATGGTAAAAAAATTCAGTTTCATCTAAATTATTCAACATTGCCTGGCTGGTGTGGCTCAGTTGGTTGAGCATCAGCCCATGCACCAGGAGGTCGCTGGTTCGATTCCCCGTCAGGGCACATGCCCGGGTGGCGGGCTCAACCCTCAGTAGGGTATGTGTAGGAGGCAGTTAATCAATGTTTCTTTCTCATTGATGTTTCTCTCTCTCTCTCTTCTCTCTCTCTCTCTCTCTCTCTCTCTCTCTCTCTCTCTCTCTCTCTCTCTCTCTCTCCTTTCCTTTCTCTCTAAAAATCAATTTAAAAACATTTAAATTATTCAATTTAAAAAACATTTAAGTTATTGGTTGAATATCTATTGATCCAGCTAATATTTAGTGAGTGTTTATTATGTGGTAAGCTCTGTTAGATGCCGGTGGCACCCGTATTAACAAGAAAGCAGTGATGGTTTAGAGTTCTTAATAAGAAACAATATATAGGCTTGCTCATTTTTTACAGGACCATTAATAATATAATTTTTAAAAAGGAACTGTTTCCCTTACCGTAGATTCTCCCATTAATGGAACATTTTTTAAAAGTCATGATGTTCTGAGTGAGGGTGCCCGTTTTGTCAGAGAAGACATATTCAATCTGGCCCAGCTCCTCGTTGAGCGTGGTTGTTCGAGCTGCAGCAGGTGTTGCTTTCTGAGAGTAATACATCTTCTGGTCCCAGTTTATAAAGTAACTGTGTCCCAGACGAATTACTTCCACACTGTCATTCATTAACATAGGGGGAGAAAAAGGGTTGCTCCATTAATTTCAGAACATACAACGCTTTGCCAAAGTAAGACGTCTGCCAAAGTCCTTGGAGTTTAGGAGAAATTGTGGATGCTCTTTCTATCCCTAGTGACCTTCAGAAGCATCTCAGCGGAGCATAATTTTTTAAATATATTTTATTGTTTTTTTACAGAGAGGAAGGGAGAGAGATAGAGAGTTAGAAACGTCGATGAGAGAGAAACTGATTCAGCTGCCTCCTGCACACCATCTACTGGGGATGTGCCCACAACCAAGATATATGCCCTTGTCTGGAATCGAATCTGGGACCCTTGAGTCCGCAGGCCGATGCTCCATTCAGTGAGCCTAACCGGAGCCTATTTCCTTTTCTTTTCTTTTCTTTTTTAAATATATATTTTATTGATTTTTCACAGAGAGGAAGAGAGAGGGATAGAGAGTTAGAAACATCCATGAGAGAGAAACATCGATCAGCTGCCTCCTGCACACCCCCCACTGGGGATATGCCCACAACCAAGGTACATGCCCTTGACCAGAATCGAACCCGAGACCCTTCAGTCTGCAGGTCGATGCTCTATCCAATGAGCCAAACCGGTTTCGGCAAGAACCTATCTTAATCCTTCCTAAGTGGTTTCCTTACAGCTCCAGGAGACAATACGCTGACTTTACATAAAACCTTAGGGAACGGCTCATGGTTCTCTATTTATATTAAACAGGTCCAGTGGAGATTTCTTGTGTTACATATTAGTTGGCATTTCTCCTATATCTTAGGAGAAAATATTATTAAAGATGTTTGTCAGGTGTTTGATCTGAAGTAATATGTCTTTGAGGACCCTCTCTCCAATACTTTCTTTGATGTGGCTTCACTTTGCCAAAAGATGTGGAAAGAATCTCTGTGAAGCATAGAGAAAGCCATGATAGATACTGAGTGGAAACAGGGGGTTGCTGTCATATTACTCTGCCTATTTACCAGAACAAGAGCATTGTCTTACAATCTAGCAGTGATTTATGACTTTCCAACTGTGGAAATGAAATTTCTGTAGCCCAAGGTATGAACTTTCTCAACCTTTATCATATATAAGGCCAAATCATTTTCTAAAAAGGTTATGATAATGTAAGTTTCTACCATTAGATTATTGAAAATTATCTTTTATTGGGTGCTAAGTCAAATGCATCTAATTGCTCTTTACTGCATTTCTTTTCAGTAAATATTTAAACATTTGTTTCAGATTTTATTGGCCAGTTGTTTTCTTCTAGGAATTATCTAATTGTGTTATCTATTTTATTTTCCTATTGAGATGTTAGTGTATTTAGCTATTTGTTAAGAAAACATGTATTTTCATATACAGACATTATGCAAATATGCTACCAAATATATCATTTGTCTTTTAATTCTGACTCCACTGTTTTTAACATACAGAAGTTTTCTCTTGTTTGTATGTTTGTATCTCTCTCTCCCTCTCCCTTCCTCTCTGGAATTTACATATATATATATATATATATATATATATATATATATATATATTAGTTTAGTCTTCTTTTTTTCACATATGTTCACACCATAGCTTGATAACTTTGTTCCTTGACATTATATATTTTACTGATAATTTTTAAAATTATTATTGACTTAATGAAAACTTTTAAAAATTAAAAGCATTTGGATTTTCTAGAATTGTAATCACATTGTCTAAGCTCTTCCTTCCTAATAGATTTATTTCCGTTTTAATTTCATCTCTCACTTTGTTTAGTGATATTTCAGTTGCATGTCTTAGTACATTAATAAAGACATCCAGAACAGAACAAAATAGTAATGGTCATAGCAAGAAGTTGTAGCTCATTTCTGATATTATGGGAATTAAGCCTTGGTTTTCTCAGCGGTAAAGTGAGAAAGTTCACAGAAGCCTGTTATATTATCTCTGAACATTCATCTCCTTGAAGACAAAAGAGGACACGCAGGGCATTAAATTTTATGCTTTTAGCTCTGTCACTGAATGACATATCTACATTTTCTCCCCCAAAGTGGTATGATATTAGTTCATTTTCTAACTATTTAAATGGTAACACTTTCTTTCATCCAAACTAAAAATCACATTATGATTCTTAGAATTGTATGATATAAAAATAAATGTCATACTCTGCATGTATTTATTCATATGTTTTTCTGTTATGGCTTACTATTCTGTACCCACCTTCACTACACCACCACCACCACCCATACACACTTCCTTATAAGTTCCTTAATAACTGTTCTAATTCGGCTTTGTTTTCCTTATTCCGTCACTCAGAAAGCATTAATGCATATGGGCCAGGCACAGCACCGTACCTGTCATTGGCAGTCAGTCAGGATTACATGAATGAATCCTGACTAATCATTCATTTCATTAATAAGGACATTAACAGAAGTTAAGTGACTTACCCCAGGTCACATAAATAATTAACCACAGAGCCAAGACTAGAATTCAGGCATTTTGTAAGGCCAGTGCAGACCTGGCCTTAAAAATGCCATAAGGCCTAAGCAGTTTGGCTCAGTGGATAGAGCGTCGGCCTGCAGACTAAAAGGTCCTATGTTTGATTCTGGTCAAGAGCATGTACCTTGGTTGCAGGCACATCCCCAGTAGTAGGTATGAAGAAGGCAGCTGATCGGTGTTTCTCTCTCATTGATGTTTCTAACTATCTCTCTCCCTTCCTCTCTGTAAAAAAATCAATAAGATTTTTAAGACCAACATTATGCAAGTAACTGCACAGATCACTTGAAGCTTTCATTTATTTAAAAGTAAAGTATCTCCCTGAAAACTTAAGGCAAAAAAAGAAAATGAATGGAACAGAATTTGATCCTTCTGTGTTACAGTACAAACCAATAGAAATACTCTAAATTAACTTGAATTCTTAGACCTTAAAATAGTCTCTTGGGAGAAAGCGCATCCTTTTTGTTGAGAAAACAGGATTTAAGAGAGTCACAGTGGAACATTCAGCCTTTTGTTTTATGATGGAGAAAGGAGACAAATATTCAAAGTTAGCATGATCAAGCCGCTTAGTGTCCTCTGCCTTCATGCTCAAAGAACAGACTAATGATTCTCCCTATCCAGTGGCTAAACAAGCAACATAGAAAGGAGTTCCTATTGCTTTGGAAAAAACACTCAGAAGTTAATTCCTTTGGAATACCACAGTTGCTTTTTTTGAGTTGGTATATATAAGAAACCATAGCTGGGTATGTTTAACACTACAGATAAACAAACTGACAGCATAGAAATATCTTACCACAATCAACCTCCTTTGCTCACGTGGAATTGTTAACCATTCAAAGTAAATTCTGCACTATTACTTTAAAGTGACATATGGCACTAATTTATCCTTGGTAGCAATTCAAAAGCCTAAGGGAAGCTTCTGGTGAAGGCCTTTATCCCTCCAAACAGAAATATCTGGGAGTTCTCTTTTTCTAGGTCTTAGTCTGTAAGACTGAGCAACCTGAAATTCCTCAGAATGCTTCCCTGACCCCAAGTTCAAATCAGAATCACTGTTCCTATTTAGTGAAAGCAAAGCTTACATTTATCCTCATCAATACTGTGCCTTACCAACAGACAAGGATTCCAGCCTCTTTTTAATTCTTGATTTCTTCACTGATGATTAAATCACACACAGCTTGGGCATAGAGGAGAAAACACTGTGCCAAGTGTCAGAAGACTTAGATTTGGATCTTGGTTCTAACCAACACCATGATCCTGAGTGAATAATCTCATTTTTGAAAAATGTTCAGCAATAACTACCTCCTAAGAGTGTTAGAAGACATAAATATAGGTGAAAATACTTTATATAAAATATAAAATGCTATCTAAAAAGGTAAAGCGGTATTATATGGAGCAGTAAGACAGGAATCTATTATTTTAATTCCCTCATTTTACTTAGTAGCACATATTTGATAGGTAAACTGAGGCACAGAGAGGTCAAGTGCTTTTTCCAAGGTCACACAGCTATTGGTGGCAGTGCCATGACCAGAACCTGGGTTTGGATGATTCCAAACAGATTTTCTTTCCACCACTACAAAGGGCATAGTAGAAGGAAAAGGAACGCTAATCTGGGAATCTAACACACTCACACACACACACACACACACACACACACACACACACCAACCTTTCAAATCATTAAATGAAAAATGCCAATGCACTTCAAAGAAAGAATATATATAGAATATACTTCCTTCATGAAGTCATATAAAACTGCACACTTACTGGTGGTAAGCCACTATGAGCATTTATTATTCGTTTAGGACATAAAAGGAAAGCTATAAAAGCTCATCATAGCTGTTCTGGCAAAAATCAGGATTTACTACAGACTTTATAATTGGATCCAAGCTTGAGAAGTCCTCAGAATCAAAGATGAGCCAGTAGGACACAGTTTACATAGAGCCCACTCTGACCACAGTTCCAGAAGGCTCAAAGCAATTTGTGGTACTATGGCCACATGCCACTACTTCAAGTCAATTTCCCACAACTTGACATTTCAGTCCCCTGACCACTATCCAAAACAAGGGCGGATTTTGTGCATTAAATGTCCCTTGCTTCATCATAGCTAGAATTTTGGAAAGAGAGAAAAAGAAGCTCATAAAAATTAGTGGAGATTTAGAGCTGGTGATTTTGTGTATTGTTAAAATACTGGTGATGAGGAAAGTCAAACAACCAACTCTCCTCTTGGCTCCAGCCTCTCTAGGACTGTCTGGCTCAGTCTTGGTAGAATTAGGATCACGAATGTCTCAGGTACAGGCTTTGAGTCAACTTATCAAATACACACACACTCACAATCACATATATATATCTATATCTATCTAGATATGCGTGTGTGTGTGTGTGTGTGTGTGTGTGTGTGTGTGTGTGTCTATCAAGAGAGACCATTTTAGCTTTAGAAATGACAGATCAAGTTATAGTGGAAGTTATAAATCATGTTTCTATCTAACAATAGTTAAGCACCACCAACTATACTTCAACTGCTTCATGTACTCACTTATAGTTACAGACAGCAATAGGGAAAATGAATATTCATTAAGCTCTTATAATGTGTCAGGTATCATTCTAAGATCATTACATGTTTGTATACTTCTCAGACAATCCTATTATTTTTTTCTATTTTTATAATGAGAAAACTGAAGCACTAAAAGGCAAGTCAACTTGCCCAATTTACAGAGCTATTGAGTGTAGAATAGAATCTGACTGTAGGAGGTATCTGAGTCAGACTAGTGGCAGGGAGGCACCATTGCCATAGATCTCCCCAAACAGTACTTTATTCCTTACCTAACATCAACCCAATTCTATTCAATCAGGTTGCATGAGGTTATATTATAGTCCATATATTCCAAAGAAAAAAGATTCGTGAGAAAACGAATCGAATGAAGAAAATAAAATGCATGTATTGTAATTTGAAAATGTAAAAGTTAAACAGATTAACCAGCTTAGTTGCTTCATTTGTAACAGATGTGGCAGATCATAAACAGAACAAGACATCTATCTCACTGTTGTAATTTTAAAACAAACAAAAGTGATTACGAAAACAAAGGCTTTTGGTGAAATGGCTTCCCTAAAGTATAAACTCTAATCTTACCTCACATATAATGAAATGGGTACAACTGTATTGAGAATAATAATATAGGACCAGAATGTTAAAAATCCTGAAAACACCAAATTCTTCTCTTCTTTATTCCAGAAAAGGAAACTTCTGAATTGGGTCCCAACTTGGTTCTCCCAGATTGAATTTCCTATGGCAAGAATAATTCCCAAGCATATGAGAAACCCAAATATCTGAAATGAGAATAGGAGACTGGTTAACATTGCCTTGAATTCAAAATTACTCATATCAATGCATTACTCATATCAATGCAATCTAATTGCGCACCTAATGTCAAGAAATTGTCATTTGAAAAGCAGATTATACAAAGCTCTTATTACTTATCATTAATTATGGGAGTAAAATTTAACATTATTATGTATGGAACTCAGCTAACTATTTTACATAAATTTCTTCAATTCTCCCAGTGACTCTGAGATTGTAACAATCATTTCCACACTTTACTGGTCAAAAATTAAAACCAAAAATACAATAAAAGCACAGAAAATTATATAACTTGTCCACAGTCACAAAGCTATTAATTTTAATTCTTTGATTCATAATGAGCACATATATTTAAGTGGCTTAAGTAAAAAAGCTCATACATCTTGATGTGCTCTAGCCAACCCCAGTTTATATCCTCTAAGAAAAGAGTTCCTTCCTTCCCCCTTCAAAAGTATCATGTTTAAATAAGTTATATAATCACCGTGCACAAAAGCAAAAGGAAAAAAAAATTAATGATAACTGTCCCAGACTGAGCAAATCTTTTGGTCACAGTTCTAGCTATACAATACTTACCTAAGGTCAATAAGAAAGATAAGGATTAATTAAAAGATTTAATGACATATATACTTTCCTTTTGACATAAGAAAAAAAGGTAGGATGCATCCTAAAAATTAGCTGACTCTTACATTGTGATTAGTGTCAATATTAGCAAAGCAGACATTTTGGAGGTATAGCAAACAGAAATACAGCGAAGTCAGCTACTTGTGAGCTCAAAATTCCAGCTTTAAACAGGAAGAATACAACATCAGGGAACAAGGTAAGACCTGAGCTGAACTTGGTGTTCAGATGACTTCCCCTGCTACACTGTGTTAGGAGCAGAGATCAGCCACTGCAGAGGGAGGAGGGGGACTAAAGAATAAGAATGCATTTCCCTCCGATTTCCTTTCTCCTCCATGAAAGAATATTCAGATGTTCTAGAACTGCCCATTGTTCTAGAAGATACCCACATTAAGAAAATAAAGTTTTGGGGAAGGCAATTTAAAGTACATTAGAAAACCATGTATTAGAGAAAAGTAGAATTATGAATCCCTGAAATCTACCAGTGTGGTACCTGCACCATACAGTATGCTCTTTCTTTCAATGGCTAATACTACAAATTAATTTAATTGAATTACTGTAAGAGCATTAAAATTGGTGATAGTTAGCATTAAATGCCTGACTTTAAGGACAGGCTCCACTTCTAATACCCCAGTGGATCATCCAATTGTCTAGTACAAAAAGCTGGAACAGTCCTTACCTCACAACCCAGTAATTTTACTCTGTGGTAGATACATATATAATCCCCATACAAACCCTAGGAGTGAGCTCAGGGTTGTTTAAATTGAAAATTCTAGGATGAACACAGACTCGTTCTGGGCAGGTCCCCTTGATCCAGGGATTCAGCCCCAAGAGGAGAGGAGAAAAGTCCAGGTCTGAGGATAATACTGAAAGTAAAACAGAGCCTGGACAATATTTTGTGTCCAAATAAAAGTGTTTCCGTTTTTTCCTTATTCAGAATCTCACCATTACATATCGGTTAAGCAAATAATTACTTGTAAGTCTGTGATGGGGCAGATGGGGGAACATGGTTCAAAGTTACTGTCCTCATATTTCAAGGTCAATGTCCTGAAACTTAACCCCTTCATAAGGAGGCAAAGCAATATTACATGAAAAATCAAATCCATAGCCTAAGGCAGCATGATACTAACTAAAAAAAAAAAAAAAAGATAGAATACAAGAAATAGCTGGTATTTTTTTTAGTAAGTGGGTGGTTTTTTATCATTTTAAAAAATTTAGAGGAAAAATAATATTCAGATGAAAGAGATAACCATGAGCTAGGAGGTTTAGAAGGCTTTATGAAGCAGAACTATGACTTAAGGCCTCAGAGAATTCATAAGTAGAATCTGCTACATGATTATCAGGGTCCAGTGCAAACTGAAAACACGTGACACCTCCCCTTGTTCAAAATTTATTAATAATTTCTTCTTTTAAAAAAATATACCTACATAGTGACAGCAGATCAATAACAAACATGAGGCGTTTCAGAGTGGAGACTCTGTACAAATGAACAGGTCACACCCTCATGAAGTTGGCCCTGTCCATAAGCTATGTTGAGAGGATTTGAGCAAAAGTAAGACAACAGAAAGACCAAACTACCTTAAAAATTATGTTTTGTTCCTCAAAACAAATCTTTAGGATATGGAGAATTTGTAAGACCATGAAGCTCCATAAACACTAACCCACTTCTTATAAGAAACTCTTCCAATGGTTAAGAACTCATAATCTGGAAAGTAAAGAGCTATATAACTGAGCCCAAAATGCAGAATACCCAATACACACTACACAAGCAGAATGTAAACTTTTGAAACAATTCCCAGCAAAGAAATATATAAATATAACAATGACTAGTGATATTGCCTACTTTTGTTATAGTAACTTACCCATAATACTAGAGTATTCATCAATCTATCAATGCTTGTCCTTTTAAACTTTGTCTTACCACTGTTCTGCATTAGTTTAGTGTCAGGACCTGCAAGAAAAATGTTTTTAATAACAACTGTGAAATGGTTAGATGGTGATGATGATGATGATAGGGAGAAGGAAGAGGAATTCCTACTCATGCCAAATATACCTGAAAATAAAAGAATATTTTTTAAATAATTTAACTTTTTGTAAAAGCAATAAGGGCCATTATCAAGTTGTATTTGATTCTCAACTGGTGACTTAACAACAACTCTGAAAACTACAAGAGAGTTGGTTTCCTTAGCACAAAATAAATCCAGAGAGAACTTGTAGCTGAAAGATTTAAGAAATGCTATTTTTTCAAAATCTGTGTACAAATATCTTTGTAGTTTGGAGCAGTTAAAAATAATTAAGTCAATCAAAGTGATGAATAATTTGAAAATGTTATAAAGAATCTATATATACAAAAGCCTAAAAAGCTGAAACAACCAGAATGAAAGGTCATTATGAAGCGCACTGGCCACCAAGGGGCAGACACTCAATGCAGGAGCTGCCACCTGATGGTCAGTGCACTCCCACGGCCAACCTCCCCCCGCCAGCTAACCTCCCACTGTCCCTCCCCCCTTCCAGCTGGCCAACCTCCCTCGGTCACTTCCCCTGGTCCCCAGGTTGGGATGGGGAATTGGGGTGGGTGGTAGCAGACATAGCCTCTTTTTCAGGGGGGCTAAGGGACAGCTCCCTCCTTGGGGCCAGTGGCCAACCTCTTGTGCCCCATCCCTCCTGTGAGCCAGCAGGCCCTGATTGGCCTGCTACCCACACACCATGGTGGCAAGGGGAGGAGGAGGGAGAGAGGTGGGGAACGGCATGGTGGTGGGGCACCAACTATGGCAGCAACAGCCAGCAGCCATTCCTTCTGCGCCTAACCTGGCAACCGTTGCCTCCTCTCTAGCCCAAAGCTGATCAGCCTGGCCCCGATTGGCCCTGATGGCTGGCCAGATCTAGGGACCCCACCCATGCACAAATTTCATGCACCAAGCCTCTAGTATAATAATAAATAAAATTCAGAACACTTACATAAAAAATGAAAAGGTAAAATAAGAAATAAAATTCTGAATCTATTTCCCAAAAAGATTTGAGATGCCTTTAACAGAGAAACTAGAATAACTACAAACCATGCATCTATATAATAAAAATTCAGTGGTCATAATACCATAATGACCAAAGACTGGTCACCCCAGGAGGCTGCGTGCAGGTGGGTGGGGTTGCGAGCAAGGCGAGGCACGTGTGGGTGGGCAGAGCCATGCAATTTTATGCACTGGACTTCTAGTGAGAAGATAATTTAAATCTTTACTACGTATTACATACTGTGTATATAATATGTACTTTATGTTATGGCAAGAATTGTTTTAATCTTGCATTAGATTAATTTCAGGTAAATGCAATACATTATCTCATGATACACTAAGTGCCTTGTTCAAGGAATTCTAAAAATATTATTAACTGTCTTAGAAGTAGATTATTAGGTAATAAACAAAGGAGAATATTAGAATATATTTCTAAAGAGATTTCTTGTGGGCAAAAAAGATACTAAATAGAAGTGATTAAATTTTTTTCCTCTCCACATAATCTTCCCTCAGATTATTTTCAATTCATGAAGCCATTTAATATAGGAGAGGAAGAGAAATGAAAGAAAGGATGAGATGCACACATAAAATTTACTCCATTTCAAAAGTCAGGGTAAAATGAGCAACCCTTAAAGACTTCCATTTAGTAGGTGTAGTGTTTAATAATGCGGATTTTTTCCAATGGATGAAGTTACACATATGTTGATATATATGTGATTTGATATGTATGCTATTTTGTTGTATTGACAACATGCTTCAAAACTTCATATGCCAAATTTTCTGAAGGTGTTAACATCATAGATATTTTTATGCTTTAAAGTGTCAAATTTTGTGCCAAAAAAGAAAGCATTTGAGGGAAGTTTTAATTTATTAGTTTATTTTTAAGAAAAGTGCTGCTGAATACTTAGGGAAGCTTATGGTGAACATGCTCCATCTCAAGATACTTGTGTACACTGGTTTAAATGCTTTAAAGACAAAGATCTTCCAGGTCAACAGAAAAAGTTTGAAGACCAACAATTACAAGCACATTATTAGATGAAGATGCATGTCAAACTCAAAAACAACTTGCAGAAAGATTAAACACTGCTCAGCAAACCATTTCCAATCATTTACAAGCAATGGGAAAGACTTTAAAGGAAGGAAAATGGGTGCCACATCAACTAAACAAAAAAACAAATGGAAAACCAAAAAGTCATCAGTAAAATGTTGCTTCAATGGCACAATATATTTGGATTGAATTATGACTGGCTATGAAAAGTGGATTTATTTTGAGAATCCCAAATGCACAAAATCAAAGGTTGATCCAGATCAACCATCAACAATGACTACAAGGCCAAATGGCTTTGGAAAGAAGACAATGTTCTGCATTTGGTGGGAACAGGAAGGTGTAGTGTATTATGAGCTTCTAAAATCAGGTGAACCATTAGTTCTCATCGCTATTGACAACAAATAATTAATTTGAGCCACTCTTTGATCATAAAATGACCAGAATGGACCATAAGACATGGCAAAGTAATTTTGCTTCAGGATAACTCATCATCACACACTTCAAAACCAGTTAAAGACACATTAGAAGATCTTGTCTGGGAAGTATTAACCCACCCACCATATTCACCAGACCTTGCTCCTTCAGATTACCAATTGATGGCACACACACTTTCTGAGCAGCACTTCAAAACATACAAAGAAGTAGAAAATAGGGTCTCTGAATGGTTTGCCTCAAAACAAGGAAAGTTCTATTGAGACAGATCTACAAATTACCTGAAAGATGGGGAAAATATGTAGCTAGCAATAGACACTACTTTGAATAAAGCACTTTTGATGTTTCTCTTGAAATTATTATGTTTTCTTTGATCATAAAATCTGCATTATTAACCACTACACCTAACTAATACTTTGAAGAGAAACTGAAGCAAAGATTAGGTCTCAGAATAATTCACTGTCTTGAGTTGAAAATTGTACCTCAGTGTCCTATTCCCAGCCACTTCTGTGTAAAGGAAGCCACCCACACTTTTTCAAGTCATTTATTAAAATTATGTGGACAATGAGGGTGGGAAATATTTCTTTTATAGTAAAGATCCCTGAGGAGAGCGGCTCCCAGGTGACTAAGTGATATAGGCTGCAGAGAGTAAACAAAGCTTGATCAGGTGCATGTAATTTAGTAGATTCAAAACCTATGAGAATGTTGTAAACATCTTGACCACACCCTTACTTTGCCTCGTGGAATCTGGCTATAAAACAGAGACTCGACTTGCAAGCTGTGGCACTGTCTCTCTAATCAGAGGTCAGCATTCCACCTAGCCCCAGCTTTATTCTCTTGTCTGTCTTTTGTAATCCTTCACTTCCCTCCCTCAAGTTCATCCATGGCTGTGCTGTTGCCGCACAGATCACAAAAAGCAAATAAAGTTTGTGATTGCTAAAAGCTGAAATATTAACAGCTGTGTGCTAAAATTTACATTTCTTAAACATGCATGCACACCAGACTAGCAAATAATCTATTTAATGTATTTCTAAGCATTTGTTTAAATATTAGAGGCCTAGTGCATGATTCGTGCACTGGTGAAGAGCATGGCCTGTGGGGATTGGCTTACTGTGGGAGTGCCAATCATCCCAGTCAGCCAAGCGGCTGTGGACCTGCCCTCTGAGCAGCTCCTGCTATGGGAATGCTGCTCATTCAGGTCATCCAAGTGGCATTCCTATTGTGGGAGCACACTGATCACCAGGGGCAGCTCCTGCATTGAGCGTCTGCCCCTGGTGGTCAGTGCACATCATAGTGACTTATCGACCGGTCATTCTGGTTGCACATCATAGTGACTTATCGACCGGTCAATCTACCATTCGGTCATTGGGTTTTTATATATATAGATATCTACAGCACAGAGGTTGATATAAACATATTTTCTTGTCTTCAAAGCTACATCTCTTGAAAGACGTTTCTATACTCAACAGTCCTTGTTTCCTCATCTCTTACTCATTACTCAGTCTAGTTTCTAGGCCAATCACACCACTCAACAGATCTAGTGCTATCATCAATATTTTCTATGCCTTTTTGACCTCTCAACAGTCTTTGGCTGTTGTCTATTCCATCTTTTTGAAACACAGATTGCTACAATGTTCTCCTGATTTTCCTCCTACCTCTTTGGTAGCACATGTGTTCCATGATGACCACCACTCTCTACTCAGCCATGAAATACTGGGATTCATTAAGCTTGTAGAGGCCATCTTCTCTATGTTTTCAGTCAACCTTCCCTGGGAAATCTCTCTTAAGACCTCAACTCCAATTATCATTTATAGACCAAATGTATATCTCCAGCTCAAATTGCTCCTAAACTCTAAAAACTCATATATTTAAATCCCTATAGATAATTGCCTATATTACATCTTCACCTGAATCTTTCTTAAGCTTCTCAAGTGGCCTTTGTCCAACCAACTTGTAATCACCAGGCATATGTCCATTTCTATACTGCATGGTCTCCATGCTCCAAATTTCCTCACCTTAGCAAAGGGCACCAATTCTCATCCTGTTGTGAAAGCTGATAGAAATCTAGGTGTCTAATCTAGCTCCATGACTCATATTCCAATCCAAAGTAACTCTGTCTCCCTAAATCTACTCTTCCCCCAACTCTAATCAATATTTTTCCTCATTCCCTAAAACAATCAGATATTTTTCTGGGATCTGCTATTTATCACCTTTGCAAGCACTGCATTTAAGAGTGAACTTTTGAAATTTAACACATAAACACAGATCATCAGTTTGTAAACTTGCAGTGGCTTCCCAATGTTCTTAGGATAAAGACCAAAATCCTGGAGATGGGCCACAGGGTCCTCCATGGTCCAACCCTCACGCATGTCTCTAGGCACTCATCATCTCCAGCCTCCTTGCTCTCTATGCTCCACACTGGCCTGCTTAGGTTTTATTTTTAACCGCACCATCTTCATGCCT